TTCCCAGCTAGTAGTTGACTTGCCAGGACTGTTACAGGAGTGGGTAGCTGTGATTTTGGACCAGCTTGTCCCATTGTTGAGAAGACCAGATTAGAACTGGCTCTGCCGCTTACTGGTGGCGTGAATTTGAGAGGAAGGAGAGAGTGTGAGTGTGCCAATGTTTAAGTGCCTGCACCATTCTATGCTTTGTGCATGATTCCATTTGAATCGTCTCATCTGTCTTGCAGAAGTGGTTCATCTCCTTCATTTTACAGGTGAGAACAGTGGAGCTGAAGAGCTTAACTAACCAGTCCTGGCAGCCCAGTTACTACTTTGTGAAGTGGGGATTCAAACTCAGGACTGCCAGCCTTCGTCTTAGTCCATCTGTGGCATTTTAGCAGAATATCTGAGACTGGGTAATTTACAAATGATAGACATTTATTTCTCACAGTTCTGGAGGTTGGGAAGTCCAAAATCAAGGTGCTGGTAGGTTCAGTATCTGGCAAGGGCCTGGTCTGTGCTTCCAAGGTGGTGACTTGAATGCTATGTCTTCACATAGTGGAAGGGATGGAAGAGCAAAAAGGGTCGAACTAACTTCCTCAAGCCCTTTTATAAGGGCAGGAATCCGATCCATGAGGATGAAGCCCTGATGGCCTTATCACCTCACAAAGGCCCTACCTTTCAATACTATCACCTTGGGAGTTAAGTTTTGACATGTAAATTTTGGAGGGGACACCGACACTCACACCAAAGCCCTCTCTGAATAATACAGGGCTACTGTTTACTGTCTGTGTATGCCCGGCCCATGCGTTAGTTCTAATAGCACAGAAACCTTGCAAGGTGTGTGGAATTATTCCCATTTTACAGATGAGTAAACTGAGGTTCAGAGGTTAAGTAACTGGCCCAATGATACGAAGAGTGGTGGAGCTGTGGTTTAAGCCCCTATCTAACTGACTCCATTCCCCTAACCCATGCTGCAGGGACAGCCAGTTTCAGGGGTCAAAACCTAGGGGTGACCTGAGGATGAGGAGGGGTTACCAGAAGTGGGACTTCAGCACCTTGTCGCCTTTTTTTTTTTTTTTTGAGATGGAGTCTTGCCCTGTTGCCCAGGCTGGAGTGCAGTGGAGTCATCTCGGCTCACTGCAACCTCCGCCTCCTGGGTTCAAGCGATTCTCCTGCCTCAGCCTCCCCAGTAGCTGGGATTATAGGTGCCCACCATCATGCCCAGCTAATTTTTGTATTTTTAGTAGAGAGAGGTTTCACCATGTTGCCCAGGCCGGTCTCCAACTCCTGATCTCAGGTGATCTGCCCACCTTGGCCTCCTAAAGTGCTGGGATTATAGGCGTGAGCCACCGCACCTGGCCTCTTTGTCTTCTTTCTGATTGTTACAATCAGCATATGGCCACTGTGAGCCTGGTAAGGCATGGACATCCATCCACCCTCACCCCCCAACCTGCTGAAGATATATCCCAGGTCCTGCTGATAGCGAAAGCCACAAAGATGATGGCTATGGCAGAATCAGTCCCTACTTGGTGGAGCCCATGGAGCCACCTGTCAGAGCAGACGCCACAGCTGTCATGGACATGGGACTTAATTTCTTTCCTTCTGTCTCTGAAAAGTTTGTAATGTGGTAAGAGAGGAGCTGCAGGGAGCATGCATTTCCAAAGTTCTGTTGCTTTTTGTATGTTTGTTAATTCAACCCAGAATATACAAGAAGTTCTATTTATGAGCAGGGATAAAAGTGGAGCCTATGGCTTATGATTTTTTTTTCTTTTTCTTTTCTTTTTTTGAGACAGTTTCACTCTGTCACCCAGGCTGGAGTGCAGTGGTGCAATCTTAGCTCACTGCAACCTCCACCTCCCAGGTTCAAGGGATTCTCCCACCTCAACCTCCTGAGTAGCTGGGACTACAAGCACTCACCACCACACCCAGCTAATTTTTGTATTTTTAGTAGAGACAAGGTTTCACCATGTTGGCTAGGCTGGTCTTGAACTCCTGGCCTCAAGTGATCTACCCGTCTCAGCCTCCCAAAGTACTGGGATTACAGGTGTGAGCCACCACACCTGGCTGGCTTATGATTTCTTTATGATGGACGAAGTGAAATAGCCTTGTGTTCTCCCAAGTAATACACACACACACATGTGCACACACAGGCATGCACATGCATTCACACGTGTGTATATCTGCAGAGGGCCAGACTTATCTCGAATCACCCTTGGGAATCTGGATCATCCACCTTTGAGTTTTCTCCTCCTTTGAACTCCAAATCTAGTCTTTTGAATATGCTTCAGCATGATCGTTAGGGAAATGAGAAGCAGTGCCTCTCCTGTGCTTGGCCTTATGTCCAGGCAGTACCTGAAAGGCAGCGTAGAGTTGGAAGAAACGGCCTGGAAAGCTGGAGTCTTTTAGCTAAAGGTTCCAGTGGCAGGTGACCCAGAACTTTGAGGTCGAAGGAGGTCTTGTTTAGCTCAGCAAATGTCTCCTGGGAAAAACTTTCCCCAGGCTTGATTTCATATTGACCCCAAACGACTTGAATCAGACATGCCGGAATTACAGCTACAATAGAGCAGTTAAGATTACAGCATGCTTCAGAAAAAGATAAGTAAACACAGTTTTTATGTCACTGGCACCTTCCTCCATACCTGCTTGGTGACTTCGCACCTGGGCTATGTGACAGCCTTTTCCTGCCTGCAGCACTCAGTGAATCGCGAGCCTCCCAGGGACACAGAGACTTTTCTTCTTTGAAGCCTGTGCTGAATTCTAGGGTCCTCTCCTGCTGTAGCCACTGTAGGACCCACTCAGGACACCCGTGACAGAGCACAGCTTCTCAGTGTGCACACAGAGATTGTGCTCAATTCCCTTCTTTTCTCCTTTCCGCTTTCCAAGGGAAGAGACTGACACCTGAGCTTGGGCATCTTCACAGATGGAGGGTGGAAGTTTGCACACATTCTGCATTTTCTGGTCATGTTCCCCACTGTCCTCCAGTTCCACTAAGGGTCTTAGGAAAGGTGGGTGCGCCACTTTTCTGAGATGCTCCTAGCTAGGGTCTTCCTCCACCCTCATCCCCTCTCAGGCTGGTTCCAGAGCCAGGTTCACCTGTCCTGGGAGTCCAAGGATGGACGATGGACTTCTTGGGAGAGCAGAGGGGTCAAGCCTAGTTGCTAGTTGCATAGATTGTTGAAGTTGGAGGGCCTTAAACTACTTTTGGTTCTAGCCTCTCATTTGACAGAAAAGGCTTTGAAGGGTGCCCTTCACCACCCAAGGAAGTGGCTGAAAGGGCCTTGGGATCTACTCTAAGGTTGCCTCTTCCCACTTCTGTGACTTGGTTTAGGAACTTTCTGAGATTTGGTTTTCTCCTCCATGCATTGAAGATGATATCTACTGCCTAGTTTTCTTGTGGGGTCAGTGATAATCCAGACATTCTACAGGGGAGAAATTAGCAGGTGTTCTGTTAAAGTTAGCTCTTCTAGTCTCTCCCTCCTTATTTTTCTTATGATACCCAATTCTCCACACAGATCATTTTCCCCACTAGGCTATAAATTCCTGGAGATCAGGGACCCCATAAAATTCATCTTGGGTTTCTCAGCACCTGGGGACAGTGTCTGGCATCTACCAGTGAGGTTTCAAATAACCTGTGTTGTGCAACCTGTCAGAGCACGAATGTCCCCAGGAGACTAGACAACGGCCCTCGGGGAAGGCCCCACAGCTGGGAAGTCTGGGACCTCACCGCCAGTTTCCTGCCATTCATTCCTTTCACAGAAGTACAGGAGCCATAAGGTTCATGGGACTTTTATTTTTACTGTTTATTTTTTGAAAGCCAGCAAGGATGGGCAAATGCTCAGTCCCTTCTGGGCTGCAATCCTCTACCACCAGTCCCCACCCACCTCCCCCAGCCCACCCCCTACCTGCCAGCAGCTCAGATCACCTGGGTGAAAAATACCACTCTGTTGGCCAGCGTCCCTGTCAGCACCAGCTCCAGTGCCAGACCGCAAGATTGTCCCAGGAAAGGCAGGGCCATGATTCCCAGCAGGCCGTGGTTCAGCCCCTCCCTGGCATCCTTCATCCAGCTGGAGGGGCTCTCCTTCTCCTTTCCTGCCTTGTTGGAGGGGTGTTGTTCCCAGCCCTTCCTTTCCTCCCCAGATGGGATGCTCCTTCTCTCTGGGTGGGCCTGTCCTTATATCAGCACCAAATGATGCCCAGGTGGGCAGCCCTTGGGTACACCGTCCCCGCCTCACCTCTCCCTGCATCCTCCCCTTTTCCTGGTTGTCAGGGATTTTCCGTGTCTTCCAGTCTCAGAGGTATTGACCCTGAGAGTAAATCGGAGAAAGGAGGCCAAGGGGATTTCCGCAGCTCAGGGGCCATCATTCTGGAGTGTCAGGGGCGTTTATTCTTCACTGAGATGTCCCACTTGCCCTCCTGGAGGCAGATTCCTGCAGCCTGGGTTAGGTGCTCAGCTCTGGCCCCTCCAGTGGGATCCTTCCTGTGCACAGATCTGAGGAGTGCACCTGGCCACTCACCTGTCTTTTCTTCTGCAGCCAGCAGCTGGCTTGGGGCCCAAGACTCTGGTCTTCTGACTCCCCAGCCAGCTGCCTCCCTTCCTGGGATGTCCTGCCCCCCACCCCCACAAAAGTTGGATCACAGTGGCATGTCTGGGACCCCACAGCCAGTTTTCTGGCTGCAGAGCCTGGTCATTTTAGTCCTCTGTCCACTTGTGAATCTGCAGAAGTGGCGGGCGAGGCCCGCGGAGGTGCAAGGGGCAGCGCCTTCCCGGTCTCAGGAGTGCTGTGCCTCCCTCCTGGCCTCCTCCTCCCTTAGCTAGGATGCCTGTCCCCTTTCCCTCCTTTTCCTCCTCCTCTCCCGCCTCCCCTCCTCTTCTTCCGCCTCCTCCCCTGCCACTCCTCCTCCACCTCCTCCACGCGCCTCTTATCAGAAGACTCAGTCCCTGCGCCCCCAGCAGCGTGGGAAAGGGGAGGGGAAGGTAGGCTCCTCGGCGTTCCCCCGCGGGCTGCAGCCAGGATCCCGGGCCTGGACGGCGGGCGTCAGACGCTGTGCGCTCCCAGGCTGAGCACCGAGAAGGCGGCGCGGTGCTTGCGCAGCAGCAGGCGGATCTTCTCGTCGTCCGAGTCAGGGTCCAGCGGCTTGTTGTACTCGTCGTCCTCGTTCTCCGAGGGTGCGCGGTCCCCGCCTGCGCCCGCGCCCGCGCCGCCCGGGGCCCGGGGCGTGGAGGACGAGGGTTCCAGGGCGCTCTTCTTCCGCCACTTGGTCCTGCGGTTCTGGAACCACACCTGCGATGAGAAAGACTGTGAAGGGCACAGGGCCACAGCGCGCACGGGACGCGGGAACAGCCACCCTGCTACAGCTAAACAAACGGTTCAACAACCAAGTGACTGTCCCATTCACGTTTCTGTTGGGGAAGGACAATAAAATTTAAAAACGTGAGCGCAAGAGCCCTCCCCTCCCCTCCCTCAACTCCCCCGTGTTGCCGCCGCCGCCACCGCCGCCTCCTCCTCCTCCTCCTCCTCCTCCTCCTCCTCCTCCTCCTCCTCCTCCTCCTCCTCTTCCTCTTCCTCTTCTTCCGCCTGGGTTCTAGGTGGAAGATGCGGAGTGCGGGGGTGGAAGGCTTAGCCCTGATACTCATTGGAAGGTGCTTATGAGCAGTCCCTCCTCTGGGCTTCATAGACCCTCACCCTACTTCATAAATAATTGTTCCCCTGGTTAGAAAAGTAACGTTGGTCCATTCCTTGGGATAATTGAAGAGTGCAGGAATGCACCCCAGAAGCAGAAAGACGTGTAGGGGAGTCTGCCTCTTCCCCCCAGCTCTCGCCCCAGGGCAGTTGAGCGGCTGATGAGGAGGGCTTAGCGGGTGGGAGCTCGGAGGCCCCAGGGCCCTGAGCAAAGCCCAGACCCAGGTGCCAGCTGCCCGTGCTGCATCCTTAGGCCCGTCGCCGAGTCACTGAGCCAGCAGTTCCTGCACAGTTCCGAGCTTTCTTGAGCTTCGGTGCCCCGACTCAAAGTCCCAAGAGAGATCTAGCATCAAAATGGGGAAAGTTGCCCCCAGACTCTGAGGCGGTAGAAACAGGTTTCCCCAGGTCTATTTAGGGGACATTTGGGGCCCCTGAGTGTGGAGTGGGAGAGCCTGGGTTCACCTTCCCTAGCCCTGGCATGGGCGACAAGGCTCCATGCCCCTGATAGCCCATCCGATCCTGCTTAGTAGGAGAAGGCCGTTGTCTTCATCTTAAAGATTGGTAAACTGAGGTCAGCTCCTTTTGCTCCAGGCATCAAGCATGAATCTGGGCCAGAGGCTGCCGACAGTGCTTGGAATTTTTGGCCAAATACGGGGGGAGAGGGAAAGCCTGAGGTTGGAGTCCCCCCACATCTGGGGTTGAATCCCAGCTCTGCCAGCTCTCCCAGCTCTCTGAGCCGGGAGACACTGATTTTCATCTGCGAAATGGGTAATAATACCGTCTCCCCGGGTTGCTGAGATGATGAAATGAGGTGCCGCACATAAGGCTCTGAGAATGGGGCTCAGTGGATGATGGCCTTTTCCTGGCTATGGTTAATTACCACAGGCTCCAGGGTTAGGCAGGCACTGCCCAGACACCAGTACAGCTGTGCTCTGGGGGGCTGCGTTGTGTGGCCACCTCTCTCCAGCGAAGTGCCGTCCTGTCCAGCAGGCTCCTCCCTGCAGGGCAGGCGCCACCTCCCGCACAGACTTACCTTGACCTGCGATTCAGTCATGCCCAGGGAGTATGCCAGCCGCGCCCTCTCAGGGCCAGCCAAGTACTTGGTCTGCTCAAAGGTTTTCTCCAGGGCAAAGATCTGGTGCCCCGTGAAGGTGGGCCGGGTGTGCTTCTTCTTGTGTATGCTGTCACTTAGGGGATCTGGGGCTGGCAGGAGGAAGGAAGTGTGGGGTTAGTAGAGTAAGTGGGGACCCTGAGGCTAGGCACCACTGTCAGGGCAACAACCATGCCCGTCCTCTCCTTCCTGCAGAGGTTGCCAGGACACCAAGATTCCTTTCCCCTGAGCAGCATTCTTGACATTGGAGAACAGTGACTGTGACCTCTGCCCCGCCTGGGTGGACAGGGCGCCAAGAGGGCAGCTATCCTAGGGTAAGGGGACTGAGGGGCAGCAGAGCCTCATGCCTCTCTGTCTAAATTTCTCAGTAGTCACTGATGCTGCCTTCTCCTGAGGGACAACAGGAGTTCCTTCTCTGTCCCAGGGATGTCCCTTTAGGTCACCCTTCTCCTATAATTAGGGACTGGGGCCTGTGAATTCCCTCCACCCCTGGCTTCTGCCAACTTCCTTGCTCTTGAGACCTTACTTCCCAGGTCTCCAGGAAACCAGGGAGGGGGAACCCCAAGCCCCAAGCTGCTACTTCCCCATGTCACCAGGCCTGGAAGTTATGTGGCTTAAACCACCCTGGAGAGCCTGGAACAGAGGCCAGAGGCCTCCAGCCTGGCCAGGGCAGCCGGCTTAAGAAGGAGTCGTGGAAACTGGGCTCAGGGGAGTCAGAATTCCCATGTGTCAGGCCTCGTTCTGTGCAGTCTGACAGCTCAAGTTACAGGTGAGGAAACTGAGGCACAGAGAGAGGAAGGGCCCTCCTGAGAGATCATCTTCAAGTCTGTCTGCCTTTGCCTTCATTAGCCACTGACTTTCTTGGCTATGTCCCTGTGTGTGTACCTGCATTCAGGACTGAAGAGGTAGTGTGTGGGATGTGGACAGGGGAGGGGGAGATGGAGGGAAGAGAGAGCCAGCTGAGGCTTAAAGCGCCCCCGAAGCCAAGCCTAAAACAGGATCCGAGAGAGGAGGCCTTCACCTCAAGGGGCACAGGGATGGGTGGCAGCCCATGGAGGGGTGGCTGTCAGGCAGTGTGACTGGCAAGGTAGCAAATGGGGAGACAGATGTGCTTTTGGACATTCCTAGGTTGGCCCCAAGCCCCTATTGGCGTGGGGAAGCCCAGAGATGAGACAGAAGTGGAGGCCCCTGCCTGACGTGGGCAGGGCTTCAGTGGCACAGGGAAGGTTCCAAAAACTCTCACCTCCCTGCCTCCCAGCGGAGCCTCACCTGCCCGGGCACGCCCTGCCACCTCCTCCAGTAACCCTGAATGGCATCACAGGCCCACCCTCTGAAAACCTTGGCTGAGGGATGGGTGGGCTGAGAAGAGGCCCCCTGCTTCCCCACAGCTAGGACCAAATTCAGCTGGGCTCAGCAGCAACTCCCGGAGACAGGCTACTTGGTGCGGCTGCTGTTGCTAGAAACCAGAGGATGTGGTGGGCATCAGTCCCCTGGCTCAAAGGCTGGACCTGGATGGGGTCAGGGTGCGTTCTGCACCCCTGAGTGATGCCAGGGCTGTCTGGGAAGGTAAGCTGGGATGTCTTCCTCACAGGGTAGCATTTGCCTGCTTTGGGTGAAGAAGTGGATGCATGCACCCTGGGCTGCAGAAGCGAGCTGGGTTGCCTGCTGGACCCTGCAGGTGTGGGCTATGGGGCCTTCTCTAGATCTGGAACTGCCGGGGGCCCTAGGAGAGCAGCTAAGGGGGCAGCAGGTGAGGGGGGTGGCTCAGACACCTGTGTCCAAGCACTGCTGGATGGGAAGGAAGAGCGGGTGGAACTCAGCCTGCACTGAGCTGAGGCCACGAGTCCAGGGATTAATGGTGGCTGGGGGAGAAGGCAGTGGTGCGGGGTGCCCGGGAGGAGGCCCCTCCTCGTTCTCTGCCCCTCGGGGCCTGGTGGGTGCGGGTAAGTGGCTGGGGAGGCCCCGTACTCACTGTTGCTGCACTGCCGACTGCCTCGCCAGTCCTGGCCGGTGTCCGCCCAGCAGTTCCGGGTCCGGGTGGGGTACTCGTTTCCAGCCTTGGAAAAATTTCCTACCTGGGGGCTGTAGTAGACCCCCTGCGAGCTGAGCCCCCCGAAGCCTGCCACGTGGGAGTAGCCGGAGAGGAGGCTGCTGTTCGGTGCAGCCACGGGCCTGCTCAGGATGTCCGTGATCCCGTGGGGGGTCCCCGCAGCCAGCTGGGGGCCCAGCCCCGGGGGGCTGAGCTTGTAGAAGGAGTTCTGCACTGAGTACTGGCACACAGGGGCCTTCATCTCCGGAAACTGAGCCAGCGGCGTGTTGTTCAGCAGGAAGGTCCCCTGCAGGTTGGACTCCATGATCTCCCAGTCAGGACGGGGAAGGCTTCTCCAGGCCCCTAAAACCCAAGAGCCCACACTCTAGCCCCAAATCTCATGGCAGGCCTGGAGGGTCAGGACCAACTCTGAGCCCCTGACTGCCTCCCACCTAAGGCCTCGGCCAGGCCCTGGCCCAGGCACCGGCACCCGGTCAGCTGCTCGGAAGTCAGGTGCTCGGGGCAGGTGGGAGGCCTCCCCGGGGCTCCTGGCCTCTCTCCTTGCCCTGGCTGGACTGGGTGGCCCCCTACGCCTCAGCTCAGACCCCCTTTCTGCCTCTGAGTCTGGGGGACCCTACATGAGAAGTTTTAAGTTCAGAGAAGGAACATTTCCCTGATAAAGATACGGCCCATTAGAATACAGGCCCGAGACTGGCTGAGCCGCCGGAGCCGCGCCACCATTGGTCGGGGCACACACGGGCCTCACATTGGCTTTTCCTAGACAAATTGCACTTTGAAAGATTGACTGTAAAATCAGCCAGGGTGTGTGTGTGTGTGTGTGTGTATGTGTGTGTGTGTGCGTGCGTGCGCGTGCGTGTGTGTGAGAAACACAGAGAGCGAATTAGCTCTAGAAGCCCTGCTCATCGCCAGAGGGTCCATCTGCTCCCCGCAAGTCTAGCATCTAGGAAAAGGTGAGTGTCTTGGGGGCCCCGGGAGGCTCCCAAGCAGCTGTTTCCCTGGGGGAGATGAGGCTGAACTCCGAGGCCACTGTCCAGAGCTGCACCGGCCCCTTTATGTGCAGATGTCCAAGCTCCACAGAACACAGCCTCTTCCTTCCGTTCCTCATGGGGGGATGGGGTAAGTGGCTTAAGATTGGGTAAGTGTGGGGATGGGGTAAGAGGCCGAGTGGCATTGCTTTCTGGGGGATGCAAGTCCCTGTGGCTTGCTTGAGAGCCTAGGGTGGGAGCCTGCTGGCCAGAGGGCAGGGTGGGGCATGGGCAGCCCTGACAGTGCCGGGGTGTGCTCCCCCCAGCTGCAGGAGGCTGAAAAGAGGGCCACCCTGCGCACCTGTTTTTGCCTCCACCTCTAGTCGGCCTTCCCTGACCTCCCTATCAGAATCTCTTCCTCATTTGTGCCTCGGCTGGAGCAATGGCCATGCTCTGTCTGGTGTGGTGCCCAGTTTTGAAATCCCTGATGGCTGAGAGGGTGGTGGAGCCCCATGCCAGGCACTCTGTCGGTGCTCAGTTAGTAGTTGATGCACGGGACTGGGCTGAATCACAGAGCATGCATATGCTTTTTTTTCTTGAATAAATTTTTATAATGTGCAAGGCTTTATTGAGGGAAACTCTCATTTTACAAACAGGGAAACCAAGGTATAGAGGAGTTGGAGCCCACGTTCCAGGTATATGGGTGATTTCTGGACTGGGCAGGATTCTTCCCTGCAGTTTTTCTCTAAAAATGGAAACTAGCATGCCACTGGCCTGAACATGTAAAATGCCAGGAAAGATTGTGACTGCCAGACAGACTTCTGCTCATCTCTGTGCCTGGTGGCCCCAGAGCCCTTCCTGACCAGGCATGAGCTCTGCAGAGCTTGATCTCTCACTCCCCAGAGGCCGCCCTGGTAGGTGGGAGACGAGAGGCACTGCTTCACTGAGCTTCTCCTGGGTTTCCAGACCATCTTGGTTTTCAGTGGGGAGCAGAGGACCCCAGGGCTCAGGGCGAGCTTCCTTCTCACGCAGAAGCTGACCCTCTGTAGCAAAAGGATTTAGGTTATGCAAGAAAGACCTCACAAAGGGTGTGGAATGATTCTCTACAAATTTGGTTTAAAAGGAAAAGAGCTATGTCTTCGTCTGAGATGGCTTTGCCCCCAGGCTGAGTGCCACAGCCATCTGATAGACCTGGTTCTGGTTCTCGGCGTCACCACCCAATCCCACCCAGGCAACTGTGATTCTGAAACTGCGTTTTGAAAAGCCCCCTGGGTGCTGCAGATGACCTGCTGCGATTGCCCACTGGCCTGGATGGCCTCTCCGATTCCAGGAGAGAGGCTTGGAGCGGGGTGGGACTGGGGTGCTCCAGGGGCCTTGGGATTGTGACTCCGTCACCCCCTCATGATGGGGAATTTATGTGGCAGGAAAGCCACAGCCAATGATTTGATTCTTAATTAATGCCAAGCCTGACAAAGGCATTGGTGTCTGGCACCCCTAGGATGAGAAACTGAAGAGACTTTAGCAACCACCTAATCCATTCTTCCATTAGACAGATGAGGAAACTGAGGTCAGCTTGGTGACCAGCCTTGCAGGAAGTGTTAGCGACTAGTTAGAAACAGGGCAATTTTTTCCCTACAGCAAGAAAAAGTTCTTGAACTTTGAATGGCATTGAGTACTGGGGCCAGATGCCTTCCTAGGGAACGCTGGGGAGCACCTTCAGTGCATGCCAGCTGGGGGCCTGGCCAAGAATCTTGGTGAGTTGTGGTGCCCCCTCCCCCGACCCCCAGCTTCTCCCCATCCCATGGGAGCCATCAGGTGGAATAGAAATCTACTCTGCCACCTCTCTGGAGGCCTCTCCCAGGTCAGGGGTCCTGATTAAGGGATTGTCCAGGCTTCTGGGAGGACTGGGCATTGGCAGGCTCTCTGGGACCTGAGCCCCACCCATAGATTCCTTCACATCCCAACCCAGGCTTTAGGCTGGCCTCAGCACCCCTTACCCCCTAAAGACGAGCGAGAAGGAGAGATAGAGCCCTGTGCCATTAGTCCATTTCTTTATTAATTTTGACATTGGTTCGGCTGGTGTAGGGAGAATGGTCTATACATCAGAGTGGGGTAGGGGATTCTCTCCCATAACAGAGCATGTGGGAGAGTCAAGAAAAGATCCATTTTCATAACAATTAAAAAAATCAAGGTAATTTCAAAACTTCTAAAAAGCGTCTAATGTGCAGACTGCAGCATTCTCTAGGCATCGTGTGGAGACCCCAAACTCCTCCCCTAACGGCTCCTACTAGCAGCCGGAGCGTGCAGCCATGCCAGCCGGAGCAGAGGTGCCAAAGCGGAGCCTGGAGCCGCGGGGCCCGCGGGGGCGCTAAGGGGGCTACTGGGTTGGCTGCAGCGGCGACCTGGGAGAGGAAGGTGCAGGATCGAGGCGGGGGAGGCGAGCCCTGTGCCCAGCTTCCTTGGGCCGTCATCGAATCGGTCCCAGCCGCGCTGCGCGACCGCCCTGCCGTGGCCCCCGGGATGGGGGGAAGGATGGGGGCGCCTCTGCGCCCTGGAGGCCTGGCCGGGGTGGCCTCTGGCGGCGACGGCAGCCGTCCAGGCTCGCCCTGTAGCTCTTCAGAGGCAGCCTAGGGGAAACTGAGGCCCGGAGCTAGAGCTTCCTCTCCCTGCCCGCCCCTCTAAGGAAGCAAAAGCAGCCCCGCCCCCGGCAGACAAGGTGCCTCGGCCGCCCCGGGGCCTGCTCGGCCCTGGGTGCATCGGGGCGGACTTGTAGGGGAGGCAGGGCCCCTCTCCGCTCACAGGCCCCGCGGCCAGGGGGCCTCTGACGTGGAGGGGGCTTCTGTGCTACTTGGAAGGTTTAAGGGTGTCCCAAGGACACTCCCGCAGAGCGGCGGGGCGGACGGGGCCAGGCCGTCCACACCGCGGCTCCGGGGTCGAGAGGAGCCAGCCCCGTCTCTCTCTCCTGGCCCTGGGGACGCCCGCCGCGAGGACGGGCAGGGATTGTGCTGATTGGGGCCTCCCTGGGCCGGAGGCTCTAGTGGAACTTAAGGCTCCTCCCTGATGGCACCGAGGCGAGGAACTGCCAGCTGTCTGTCTCCTTTCTGCCCTGACCCAGAGCCTGGCCCCAGCCTCTTGGCGTCCAGGCTCTCTGCCACCAACTCTGCTACCACTGGTCATGCGATCCAGGGAGCTCCCTGGCTGGCCTCTCCAAGAGGCCACAGGGGCTGGGCAGAGGGGAGGCACCGAGGCAGACAGGGAACAGCCTCGAGCCTGGCACCTGCACCCAGGGCCCCCAGCCTGCAGGCTGCCTGGACTTAGAGCACCAAGTTCACTCTGGGAGACCGTGGGTGGTCCTGACTTCTAAGAACTGGCAGATACATTCACTAGCCCTACTCCTTTCCTTCCTCTTTCACTGAAAGGCAGGCCACAGCTCCTTCTCCTGAAGCCACAGAAGTCCTCAGGAGCTGTGCTGTCAGGCTCTGTACATACTGCTAAATGTTTCTATTGGTTTGCATAGTATTTATTGTTTTTCATATACACAAGGCTGATTACTGTACAGTTTACACTTTGAACACGGACTATGATATAGTGCTTGAAGATATAGAAAATCTCTTCTCTATGGACATGCTGGTGCAATCCTGGGTCAGCCACCTGCCCGTCCCCCGACTGAGAGAGGAGACCCTTTCAGATGGGGTCCTGGCTCCCTTTGAGCCCTACAGGTAAGCCTGGGAGTCCTCGCCTCAGATTCTTAAGTCCCTAACACAAGGAACCCCGAATGCACTCTCAAGGTAATGATTTTCCGTTGGAAGATGACTTGTACTGAAATTGGCAGAGAGAGAGAGAGAGAGAGAGAGACAACATAAAAAATTCCAGTTTATCCACAGCAGAGTCTATACAGCTTCAGAAGTCACAGTAAAATCTGTGTGTAGATTCAGTGGAGGCGAGTGGTGTGTGTGTGTGTGTGTGTGTGTGTCCTGAATGTCATGTAGAGCGATCTGGCAGGAGCGTCACCAGGGAGTGGAGGGGGTGTCACAAGTGGAATGGAGGTGTGTAGGTTGGGTTGGGGAGGGTGGGCAGATGAGGACATGGCTTAAGATTAAGGTGGCTAAACTGATTACATGCCTAGTTTTCTTTCTTTCTTTCTTTTTTTTCTTTCCAGGAAGCCCACATGGATTTCTGACAGATGAGGTCGGGAAAAAGTACCCTGTACGAAGTCAAAACAACTAAAAAAAAACCCCAAAAACCAAAACCCATCCCCAGCCACAAAAAGCCCTCATTCACTTTTGCATTCACACGCTCTCCCGCGCCTGTTTTCTATCCCTCTCTCTCCCCGCTTCTTGCTCCTTTTGTGTCCTGGTTCCGACAGATCAGCTGTCATTGCAAGAGGCAGGATTGAAGCCTGGAGGTCATGCGTCTACAGTCAGTCATTCATGCGAAGAGGGGACTAGCGGGAGTCCCTTACAGAGGTCATGCCGTCAGCCCAGAGGAACGTGTGCACCGCTGCGGTGGCCCTCAGGTCCAGCTCTCCTCCTGTGTGCATGGCAGAGTGTGTGGGGTTCAGGGGTTGGGTGTCGAGGTGTGATCCTGGGAGACACAAAGAGAGAAGGGGTCACTTAGAATGCAAAAGGGCAACGTCCAGCAAAAACCCTACACACAGAGTTTTGTGCTGGCAGCTCAGGCCGAATCTGACTCAGGAAAAACAGTCTCCCCAGGCAAGGCGACGTGCAGAGGGTGCTGCTCTTGCAGGCCCAACCTCCTGAGATGCTGCCCTCCTTCTCTTGCTCCTTATGCAGAGGCTGTTCCTCAGAGCCGCCACAGAGGCCTCATGAATTCCTTCTGAGTGCTCGAGCGCTCCAGGATGCCTCTCTGTATGGGCCAAGGACAGCGCTGTGCTCCATGTCCTGGGAGAGGAGCAGAGGCCCCTGTGCCTATGTGGTCACCTGGGAAGACATCCCCCCAGCAGATCCTTGTACTTAGGAAGGGCCATTTTTCTTGAGCCAGGGCTTGTGCCAAGAAGGGGCTAGGTGAGGCTAGGTAACACCTTCACTTTCTCAGTTCAGCTCTGCCAACATGCACTGATGTCTGCCATTCGCCAGCCTTGGGGACCCAGGGATGGTGCGGACAGGCTCCCTGGCTTTGGGAGCTCATGCTTCAAGGGTGACAGCTCCCCTTCAGCTCTGGTCCACAGTTCTTCCTGACTGCTGCCTCTGGCTGCTCTCCCCATTCCCCTCAGATGGACAAGATCTCTGAAAAGCAGATGCATCCTCCTCTCCTCCTCCTGTATTGAGTCCTAGTCTGGAGAAGAGCAGATTTGCTGGAGGAGCTAAGCCTACATTCTTCAGCCTGGGATTCGCAGTGAGAAAACTCTCCTGTTCCCATGGGGCCTCCAGCCTCCAACCTGGGGTGAAAACTCCATGTTTTCAAGACCAGCTACTCATGTTCTATCTGCAGGGACCCTGGGACCACTGGGGAAAGGAGGATGCTTCAATAGGGAGAAGGTGACAATCTCTTGGGCAGGGCAGGAAGTGACACAGGGGGGCAGGAGCTCATCCCCAGGTGGTGCCATCCCCAGACATGGAGCTGTCTTGGGTTCTCCAGGTGAAGGTGTTGGGGAGGAGTGTTGGAAGGGAGCAGGGAGAACTCAGCTCTTGGGTGGTTCCCCAGGGATGGGAGGGTGGTGCCGGGTTCCTTGCCAGGGGCTGCTGTAGAACTGTAAAACCAGGAACTGCTGCCATAGTGGGTGGACAGTGCTGTCACCGTAGAGGGAAGATGCTTTCATCACTGCCGGGCCATCACATCAGTCAGGCCTGACTGTCTCCTCTAAGCCTCTGAACATGCTCTACCCTCCTGTTCTCTGCCTTTGGTCACACTTCTCCTGTCAAGGCTGCCTTCCACTCTCCTTTCTGCAGAGGTTCTGCCTGCCGCCCTCAACATTTCCACCCCACAAAACTTTCCTGATCCTTGGAGCAGACCCCTCTCCACTCTGGAAGCTCTCCCTTTTGTATTTTGTAAAAATACAAAATACAAAAAAAAAAAAAAAAAAAAAAGAGGCTGCCTTTTCTGATCGGGAGATGGCAGAGTCGAATGGGTAAGAACAGGAACTCTGGAGCCAGACCACCTGGGTTCAAGTCCCGTGCTGCCTGACCTCAGTCAAGTGCCGTACCTGCTCTGTGACTCAGTTTTCTCTGCTGTAAAATGAGGGCAGTAATAGGACCTACCCATTAGAGAGGTGTGATGTTTAAAAAAGCTAAGACACATAGGTGCTTAGCATTGTATGAATGTGAACAATTACTTGGCTCTCTAGAAATGTTACCGTCTCTGTCTGTTTGTGCTTTTTGATGTCTGCATATTTCCCTGGTTGGATTAGAAACACCGAGGGCAAGAACAGCCTCCTGGTGCTCCCCACGGTGCCTGCCCCAAGGGGAAGCACTCCTCAAATAAGAGACCATCATGGAATGTGCAGCCTAGGAAAGATAGTCTAGGATTTCCCATCTACTTTACTGCCCAGGCACTGAGCAGAAGAAAAAGTTCAGACCTCAGAGATCATGCTGGCATGACTGCCCATTTCATCCCTTGGTAAACTGAGACTCTGGAGGTGCAGTGGCAAGAACAGGGGTGGGATGAGGATCTAGGTCACCTCACTCTGCTCAGGACTCCTGCATTGTTCTGACCTCTTCTCCTGGGTCCCCTCACCTTTCAAAAGGTTAGAAAAGAGTCTCTTTCATTCTTTATTTTTATTTCATTTAGAGACAGAGTCTTGCTCTGTTGTCCAGGCTAGATTGAAGTGGTACAATCATAGCTCACTGCAGCCTTGAACTCCTGGGCTCAAGCGATCCTCCCACCTCAGCTTCCCAAGAGGCTGGAACTACAGGTGTATGCCACCATGGCCAACTAATTTTTAAATTATTTTTAGAGACAGGGTCCTACCACATTGCCCAGGCTCATCTCAAGTGGTCCTCCTGCCTCAGCCTCCCAAAGTGCTGAGATTACAGGCATGAGTCACTATGCCCGGCCCTAGACAGCCCTTTCACAAACATAAACTCAGCAACCATCATAACCATCCTACAAGGGAAATGCTGGCATTAGTGCTATTTTATGGCTAAGGAACCTGAGGCTTAGGGAGATCATTTGACTTGCTCTGAGTCACACTACAGACAAGACCTGCAATTATTTGAGTCCCAGGGCATATATGTTCTTACTTACTCTCTTCACATCAGTGCTCACAGTTCCCATTATTATTTTGAAACCTTTTTCTTGAAGTGTAACACATCGAAAGGGACTATTTTCATCCTCCCTTGAGGAGACTGAAGCTTAGGGCTTTTAAATGACTTAAGGCCATACAACCTGGAAGCAGGAGGAAGAGGCCTTAATTCTAGACACACAAGCTCCAGCTTTCACTCTTTGAAACAAATACAGCCCATTCTAGTCATTTGCAATAGCTCCGTTCTATAAATTATTTACTGTTTGAGGCTACACACAGTGGCTCATGCCTGTAATCCCAGCGCTTTGGGAGGCTGAGGAGGGCGGGTTGCTTGAGGTGAGGAGCTCGAGAGCAGCCTGGCCAACATGGTGAAATCCTGTCTCTACTAAAAATACAAAAATTAGCCAAGGGTGGTAGCACACGCCTGTAATCCCAGCTACTCAGGAGGCTGAGGCAGGAGGATTGCTTGAACCTGGGAGATGGAGGTTGCAGTGAGCCAAGATAGTGCCACTGCACTCCAGCCTGGGCAACAGAGTAAGACTCCCTCTCAAAATATAAATAAATAAACAAATAAGTCGCTGTGAACATGGAATTAGCGAATACTGAACCACTGCTCCTAAGGGAAATACAAGGTTAGGCTCCCGCGAGCCTCTGACCACAATATTTTGGTCAACTGATGAATACATAACTTTGTCTTAGGTGCGTTTCTGTTTCAAGACACCTTATGTAATATATAGGGTTGACTCATTAACACTGACTTCACCAGCACAGGCACTCTAACTCATCCCTGAGCAGAACTTATCTGATGTCCGTTCTCTCCTTAAGGAACATCGCAGCCTTCTTGCGCTTCACACCAGATAGCGTTTCCCTCAGGGGCCATTCTAAACAATGAAACCAAAAATTTGAAAAATGTGGCACTACACAAGCTGTGAGGAGGACACTTATTTATAGTATGAAACACCGAGGCAGAGTGTGGCTTTGTCCATCCTCAGCTGGGACTGCACGTGTTGGGCGACTCAAACTTTTTGCCCCTATGTGCATGCCCATGAAAGAGCAAAAGCACGGTGAGTGTCAGCTTTGGGGCTACAGATAAATGTTAATGAGTAGGCGAATTCGCAAATGCCGAATCGGTGAATGATGAGGATCGACTGTACATGCTCGTCGGGGGTGGGGGCAGTAAATTAGAAAGCCTTCGGGCCCTCAACCGTCTTCTCTGTAGCCTTAGCCCTGGTTGGGAGGGTAGGGCATTTAATGCTGTCCCCTAATCCTCTGGGACTTCAGCAGGAGCTTTTCTCCGCCTCTCCCTCGCCACTGCTCTCGCCCCTCCTCGCCCTCTTCCCCCGCCGCCACTGTCACACTTGTCCCTGTGGCTGTCACTGACAGAGGGCAAAGTGCTGTCCCAGAGCCGGGCTGCTCCATGTTTCTGACACCCACGCTAGTGTGGTCTGGTCCTTAATCACCTGGGGTGGGGGCTTCAGCCACACTGCTGATCATTTACAGCAAATTAAAATGAAATTCAAGGCTCCCTCCTTCCCCCTAGCCTGGCTTTTGGGCTGCCTCTCTCCTGCTCAGGAGCATCCATAGAACCTGAGCCAAACAGAAATCTAAAGCCACAGCTGCCACTGCTACCATAAGAAAAACAAGTCAGAAGAGTGTACTCTTCCTTTCCGTTTGCTGCTTTTAAACATTATTTGCATCTTTGGGTTCTTTCCAGGACCCAACAGCAGCTACTCAGAGTCTTCTAAACCAGCAGCCTAGTGGGACCCCTGGCAGTGCAGGGGTTAACACGGTGACCTCCTTAAGCTGCTGAGATGTCAGGTCTAATTTTATCCTATAACTGGATCTGCCAGTCCTCTTTTTTGCCCAAGTGCTGAGATATATCGGGAAGCCCAGAGTCAGCACTTTTGGTGGCTCAGGAGGCAGCGGGCCCTGATTTTTGCCGAAAGCGGAAAGCCAGAGCCTCCTTGCTGCTCGGCCCCAGAGTCAGGCCCTGGGGTGTGAATGGTAACGACCCGGTTAGTGCTGCACTGGGGCCACCATGCCCCCTCACCTCCTGCTGACTCCCACCCCGAGGTATCCTGTACTGAGCTGCCCCGAGCTGGGCAGCATGAAGGTCCTCGGGGCAGCTCAGTACAGGATGCCCCAGGGAGGATGGAGATCAGAGCCGGCCACTGAAGCCCCCAGCACCGCACACACCTGCTGGAGACGGTCGCGATCGTGCAGCGTCTTCATGTCCCTCCCTCATGGCATGGCATGGCACGGCACGGCACGCCCCCGCTCCGTGGCCACACTACCCCGTGCTCACACACATGCACCATGGCCCAGGCCCCAACCCTGACGGTCTCCTGACTTGCAGAAAGCATGTCGTCCACCCCTTAGGCCTGTCAGCTCAGCCCTTTCCTAGAAAGCAAGGGAGCAACATGTTTCACAAAACACCAAGGAGAAGCTAAGCCTTGGCCAGGTCAGAACTGTAGCTGGGCTCCAGGTTCAAGAGACAGTCCAGTCCTCAGTCTTGGAGCTCTTATGTTGAAACATCACAGCCCAGACAGACTCTCCTGTCCTCTCCAGTGCCCTGTCCACCACCTTCTAGACCCCCATTGCTTGGTTTCCAAGATAATATTACCACTTAGATTTACAGAGTGCTTTTACTCTTCAAAGAGCATTTTTTTCTTTCTGGCTTTTTGGTTTTTTTTGAGATGGGGTCTTGCTCTGTTGCCTAGGCTGGTCTTGAACTCCTGGCCTCAAGCAATCCTCTCGCCCCGACCTCACAAAATGCTGGGATTACAGATATGAGCCACTGTGCCCGGCCCAAAAGGCATTCTTACAAAACCGTGCGGTCCCTGTTAAGTGGATGTTATTAACTCTGTTTCCTTGATGAGGAAGCTGGGGCTCAGAGCCGCTGTTAGTAGGGCTGGGAAGCGAGAATCTCTGCCTCGAGACATAGCCGCAAGTTGTTTGTCCCACATCATGCTGGGGTGGCTGGGAGGGGATCCGGTGAGACAGGAGCAGCCACTCCACCAAAGAACAGGCCATGCAGAGGGGATGAGAAGGGCTGCGTTACCTCCCGAGAGGCTACTCCAAGGAGAGCGGCTCGGGGTCACTGTTTCCCCCTTTTCAGGCTGGCCCGCTTCACTATCTGCGCCCCTTTCCTGCCCTCTATCAGGTCCGGTTGTAGGCCACTCCCTCTCAGCTCCACCTGCAGACAGCAGCAGAGACAGAAAGCAGGATAGATGGCAAAGATGGGCAGAACACAGGCAGAAAATTGAAAGGAGGCTACACGGAGGCGGCAGACACACTGCCCACAGGGGAGAAGGGAGACTGGAGGGAGAGCTCATGAAGAGGTGAGTGGAGGGAGGTGTCACGCAGATGGCCCGGCAAGATGGGCAGAGCGAGGCGGCAGTGATGGCGCTGGGTCCCCCAGGGCCGCGGGAGCCTCAGTACCTTGGCATGTTTCATAAAGGAATCAATATCGACCTCCAGCTCACTGGGATCCTCCAGGGGCCCCGTGACAGTCACCTCCTCGTGCTCCTGGGCAGTGTCGGCGCTGGACGAGTCTATCTGCCGAACCACCTTGCGAATGATCTGGGAAAGGAAGGGAAGGAGGAAAGGGCTGGTCAGGCCGGGCACGGGGGCTCATGTCTGTAATCCCAGCACTTTGGGAGGCTGATGGGCAGATCATCTGAGGTCAGGAGCTTGAAACCAGCCTGGCCAACATGGTGAAACCCTGTCTCTACTAAAAAGACAAAAATTAGCTGGGTGCGGTGGCAGGCACCTGTAATCCCAGCTACTCAGGAGTCTGTGGCAGGAGAATCACTTGAACCTGGTGGGTGGAGGTTGCAGTGAGCTTAGACCACACCACTGCACTCCAGCCTGGTCAACAGAGCAACACTCTGTATGAAAAAAACAAAAACAAAAACAAAAAACGCTGGTCAAGCCCTCAAGAGCAGGTCCCAGGAATGAGCTCCGAGTGGGGGAGGTAGCCTTTGTCCTAGGAGCCCCTCCTTGAGAGGCCAAGAAGAGGGACAGCCTTTGCCCCATCGCTTTACGGAAAACCCTCTGCCAGACAGCCCTGAAGGGGCTTGGCAGTGCCATTCCATGACCAAGGTGTGACTGGGTGTGGCCTCCCCCTTGAGCCCACAGCCTTCTGTTTTGCTTTTTGGTATGGATGGAAGTTTGCGCTCTTCCCCATTCTACTCCCAGGCGCCTAAGGGCAGAGGGCATCTCTTTTTCGCCCACCCACTCCCGTATTCACCTGTCCAAATATTCAAACCCCACTTGTCCCTGTGGCTGTCACTGACAGAGGGCAAAGTGCTGTCCCAGAGCCGGGCTGCTCCATGTTTCTGACACCCACGCTAGTGTGGTCTGGTCCTTAATCACCTGGGGTGGGGGCTTCAGCCACACTGCTGATCATTTACAGCAAATTAAAATGAAATTCAAGGCTCCCTCCTTCCCCCTAGCCTGGCTTTTGGGCTGCCTCTCTCCTGCTCAGGAGCATCCATAGAACCTGAGCCAAACAGAAATCTAAAGCCACAGCTGCCACTGCTACCATAAGAAAAACAAGTCAGAAGAGTGTACTCTTCCTTTCCGTTTGCTGCTTTTAAACATTATTTGCATCTTTGGGTTCTTTCCAGGACCCAACAGCAGCTACTCAGAGTCTTCTAAACCAGCAGCCTAGTGGGACCCCTGGCAGTGCAGGGGTTAACACGGTGACCTCCTTAAGCTGCTGAGATGTCAGGTCTAATTTTATCCTATAACTGGATCTGCCAGTCCTCTTTTTTGCCCAAGTGCTGAGATATATCGGGAAGCCCAGAGTCAGCACTTTTGGTGGCTCAGGAGGCAGCGGGCCCTGATTTTTGCAGAAAGCGAAAGCCAGAGCCTCCTTGCTGCTCGGCCCCAGAGTCAGGCCCTGGGGTGTGAATGGTAACGACCCGGTTAGTGCTGCACTGGGGCCACCATGCCCCCTCACCTCCTGCTGACTCCCACCCCGAGGTATCCTGTACTGAGCTGCCCCGAGCTGGGCAGCATGAAGGTCCTCGGGGCAGCTCAGTACAGGATGCCCCAGGGAGGATGGAGATCAGAGCCGGCCACTGAAGCCCCCAGCACCGCACACACCTGCTGGAGACGGTCGCGATCGTGCAGCGTCTTCATGTCCCTCCCTCATGGCATGGCATGGCACGGCACGGCACGCCCCCGCTCCGTGGCCACACTACCCCGTGCTCACACACATGCACCATGGCCCAGGCCCCAACCCTGACGGTCTCCTGACTTGCAGAAAGCATGTCGTCCACCCCTTAGGCCTGTCAGCTCAGCCCTTTCCTAGAAAGCAAGGGAGCAACATGTTTCACAAAACACCAAGGAGAAGCTAAGCCTTGGCCAGGTCAGAACTGTAGCTGGGCTCCAGGTTCAAGAGACAGTCCAGTCCTCAGTCTTGGAGCTCTTATGTTGAAACATCACAGCCCAGACAGACTCTCCTGTCCTCTCCAGTGCCCTGTCCACCACCTTCTAGACCCCCATTGCTTGGTTTCCAAGATAATATTACCACTTAGATTTACAGAGTGCTTTTACTCTTCAAAGAGCATTTTTTTCTTTCTGGCTTTTTGGTTTTTTTTGAGATGGGGTCTTGCTCTGTTGCCTAGGCTGGTCTTGAACTCCTGGCCTCAAGCAATCCTCTCGCCCCGACCTCACAAAATGCTGGGATTACAGATATGAGCCACTGTGCCCGGCCCAAAAGGCATTCTTACAAAACCGTGCGGTCCCTGTTAAGTGGATGTTATTAACTCTGTTTCCTTGATGAGGAAGCTGGGGCTCAGAGCCGCTGTTAGTAGGGCTGGGAAGCGAGAATCTCTGCCTCGAGACATAGCCGCAAGTTGTTTGTCCCACATCATGCTGGGGTGGCTGGGAGGGGATCCGGTGAGACAGGAGCAGCCACTCCACCAAAGAACAGGCCATGCAGAGGGGATGAGAAGGGCTGCGTTACCTCCCGAGAGGCTACTCCAAGGAGAGCGGCTCGGGGTCACTGTTTCCCCCTTTTCAGGCTGGCCCGCTTCACTATCTGCGCCCCTTTCCTGCCCTCTATCAGGTCCGGTTGTAGGCCACTCCCTCTCAGCTCCACCTGCAGACAGCAGCAGAGACAGAAAGCAGGATAGATGGCAAAGATGGGCAGAACACAGGCAGAAAATTGAAAGGAGGCTACACGGAGGCGGCAGACACACTGCCCACAGGGGAGAAGGGAGACTGGAGGGAGAGCTCATGAAGAGGTGAGTGGAGGGAGGTGTCACGCAGATGGCCCGGCAAGATGGGCAGAGCGAGGCGGCAGTGATGGCGCTGGGTCCCCCAGGGCCGCGGGAGCCTCAGTACCTTGGCATGTTTCATAAAGGAATCAATATCGACCTCCAGCTCACTGGGATCCTCCAGGGGCCCCGTGACAGTCACCTCCTCGTGCTCCTGGGCAGTGTCGGCGCTGGACGAGTCTATCTGCCGAACCACCTTGCGAATGATCTGGGAAAGGAAGGGAAGGAGGAAAGGGCTGGTCAGGCCGGGCACGGGGGCTCATGTCTGTAATCCCAGCACTTTGGGAGGCTGATGGGCAGATCATCTGAGGTCAGGAGCTTGAAACCAGCCTGGCCAACATGGTGAAACCCTGTCTCTACTAAAAAGACAAAAATTAGCTGGGTGCGGTGGCAGGCACCTGTAATCCCAGCTACTCAGGAGTCTGTGGCAGGAGAATCACTTGAACCTGGTGGGTGGAGGTTGCAGTGAGCTTAGACCACACCACTGCACTCCAGCCTGGTCAACAGAGCAACACTCTGTATGAAAAAAACAAAAACAAAAACAAAAAACGCTGGTCAAGCCCTCAAGAGCAGGTCCCAGGAATGAGCTCCGAGTGGGGGAGGTAGCCTTTGTCCTAGGAGCCCCTCCTTGAGAGGCCAAGAAGAGGGACAGCCTTTGCCCCATCGCTTTACGGAAAACCCTCTGCCAGACAGCCCTGAAGGGGCCTTGGCAGTGCCATTCCATGACCAAGGTGTGACTGGGTGTGGTCTCCCCCTTGAGCCCACAGCCTTCTGTTTTGCTTTTTGGTATGGATGGAAGTTTGCGCTCTTCCCCATTCTACTCCCAGGCGCCTAAGGGCAGAGGGCATCTCTTTTTCGCCCACCTACTCCCGTATTCACCTGTCCAAATATTCAAACCCTTTACTCTGTACCTGCCATGTGGTCTGAGTGGGAGATGAAACATCAGCCAGACACGGTCCCTGCCTGCAAGCAGCTCACAGTGCAGGAGGAAAGACAGACGCACAAGCAGCCTCACTCCAGGGTGATGTGAGCTGCCCCCCAGCAGAAGCACATTCGAGACCCTGCCTTGGCTCCTCCTCTCTTTTACCCATAGCTAGCACCGTGCCCCATACTTGACAGGCAAGATCATGTCTCTGAATTAATATCTGCTACCAATCCAATGCGTTTTCACTTCCTTTAAATTATTTAATTATGGTGACGGGGTCTCACTCTGTCACCCAGGCTGGAGCTGGAGTACAGTGGCTCAATCAAAGCTTATGCAGCCTTGAACTGCTGGGTTTAAGTGATCCTCCTGCCTCAGCTTCCTGAATAGCTGTGACTACAGACATGCGCCACCATGCCTGGCTAACTTTGTGTGTGTGTGTGTATTTCTTTCTTCCTTTTTTAAAAATTTTTTAGAGATGAATTCTTGCCATATTGCCCAGGCTGATCTAAATGCCTGGGCTCAAGCGATCCTCCTGCCTTGGCCTCCCAAAGTGCTGGGATCACAGGTGTGAGCCGACACATCTGCCCACATCCATTTTATTTAAGGAGGCCCATCGTAGGCCTGGGATGCTCAAACTGCTTGTTTAACAGCTGTTTTCAGGGTTAGGTATCATGGGACTAGGTCTGGGATAATCCTTGGGGCCGGCCCTTCTGGAAGGGAGCAGCAGAAGCTATTCAGGTTGACTCAGACAAAGCAGTTGTGAGGACACCGTGTCTGGACTGCAGATGACCAAAGCTCCCAGCTCCTGGGCCCTCCATCCCTCCTGGGCGCGGGGGCAGCCAGCCTGGCCGTGCTCACCTGCTGTGAGGGCAGCAGGGAGAAGCTGCTGGCTTCTACCGCCTTTTAGCTTCTAGCCCACCTGCCTGTCCCCAGCACAGAGGGGAACAACACTCTACACCCACCTTCTTGGTGACAATGTTGCCCTGCTCATCCGTGAACTGCTCCTCTGTCACCTGCTCCCCTGGAATATTCTGAAACTCATTCCCCTGGAATTAGAGAAGAGGAGAAAATGCAAGATTGGTGAGTGGGAGTCTGGGAGGAAGAGTGGAGGAAGAGGAAATGAAACAGCAGCAGCCAAAATAGCCATGGCCCAATAACTCCCCCAGCAGGAAACTCCGGCTCAGCATGCAGCGGGAGCCACGCCAGGGCTCCCAGGGCGTGGGCGACGCCCCTGAGGGTCTGGGAGGCCTGAAGATGAACAGCCCAAGCTTGCAATTGTGCACTCGGCCCTCACAACACCCCCTGGGAACCGGTAAAATGGGGGCAATTATGCAAGTCTGACGGAGGAGGCCCTGAGAGAGGAAGTGAGGCACTTGTTTCCTATTTTTACAGCACTTTGCAATATAGAAAAGCCCTTCGACAGGCAGCATCACCCAGAATGTGACTTGCCCGAAATCCCAGAGCCAGTTGGTGACAGAAACAGGACAATCCGGGTGCAATCCCATGGTGGCACATGCCTGCAATCCCAGCACTTTGGGAGGCCAAGGCCAGAGGACCACTTGAGTCCAGGAGTTCAAGACCAACCTGGGCAACATAGTGAGCCCCCGTCTCTACAGAAAATTTTTAAAAATAGCCAGGCATGGTGGTGTGTGCCTGTAGTCCTAGCTACTCAGAAGGCTCAGGTGGGAGGATCACTCGAGCCCAGGAATTTACAGTGAGCCCAGGTTACAGTGAGCCATGACCATGCCACTGTACTCCGGCCTGGACTAAAGAGCAAGACTTCACCTCTAAAAACAAAAGAAAAAAGAGAAGAGAAGAGAGAGAAAAGAGAGAAAGAGGAAAGAAACAAAGAAGGAAACAGGACGAGCACAGCCTCCTGAGACCCAAAGCTGAGTGTTTAATGTCACTGTCACAACGCACTGGGCACCAGAGGGCAGGTTCTGGTGGGCGCCATACACACTCTGGCTCCCATACACAACCTGATCCCGGGGGGACCTCCTGGTCCTTTTCTTCCAGTGTCTCCCAACTCTGGGTCCGGAGCTCCCCACAGCAGTGTCCCCTCAGCCCTGGCCTCCGGCGCCCACACCGCCAGCCCCGCCGGCCTCCTGCCAGGCGGTTACCTTCAGGAAGACCCGCCGCCGGACCACCCTGGTGGAAATGGTCTCCTCGTCGTCACTGACGCCCTCGCTCTCCCCCAGCTCCTTGTCCAGCTCCTGGTGGATGTGCTTCAGCACGAAGCACAGGGACCCCCTGACAATGTGCATCACGTTCTGACAGCTGACCAGGAAGAAACTCAGCAGCACCAGTGTGACCAGGAGCTGGGTGACGAAAGTCCACATCCTCACCTCCTCACCAGCCCGGTCCTCCGGGGACCAGAGCAGCCAGGGGCCGGACCGCCACGGGGGGCCCGCCTCTCATTCTCCACTGGGACTCCTGAGTCCCCCAGGGACCCCTTGCATTCCCCCTCCCTATCTCTCTGGTTTGCTCTCTTCGTCTCTCACTGTTTCTCTCTCTCTGGGTAGGACACCGAATGGCCCTCTCGGCTGAAGCAGCCCAGCCCAAGTGCCCTTCTGCCCAGCAGCCAGGCTCTGCCCTGAGTGGCCCGGGTGACATCACGCTCCTACAATTTTAGCTCCCCAAACCAGCTGCTGGAGCTGTCCAACCGGGCTAGAAGGAAGCTGGCAGGTGCCCATGTCCTGAGCACTGAAAGCACAAGTGAAAGTCACTGTGTGAGTGACACCCACTGCTGCCTAACCCCGCCCTGTCCCGCCCTGTCCAGAGAGCTGGAAGTGGGGGCTCGGCCTCTCGCCTATCCTGCCCGTCCCCATGGGAACTAGAAAGAGTTCTGCCCACGGAAAGTTTCTTACTTTCAGAAAATAATATGGCCCGAGAAACCAGCTACTTGTGTGTCTCCTCGGGCTGCTACTGCAGTGATCTGAATGATGTTCCCCAGCATGGTAGGGATGAGACCAGCTAATACCCTGGACACTTGTCTGTTTCAAAAATTGCCTCAAAAGGGTGAGTGATGGGCTCGCGGACAGTCAAGTGAGCCCAGCAGGGGCCCAGCACAGGTGGTGGGGCCACCTGGAAGCCAGTCTGTAATTCTTATCAGCTCGCAGGCCCTTGCACCCTTCCTTTACGGGGCACAGCCTCCCGAAACTGAAGCGTGGAGCTGGTGTGTCTATTTAAGGCCTGTCCTTAAAAGCTCTTCCAGGGCTGGGCTATCAACACCCACTGAACAGGAACCACGCATATTAACTCGTGTTTACAGAGCTGATTCACAAATGCAGCCGCAGCAGCTGTGGCTGGAAAAAAATTCACTTTCTAGATCAGGTTGTTCCTCTCTGAGTGGCAATGCAGCATGGCAGAAAGAACACAGATCCGGGACACAGCAGACTGACCCCGCAACTCACCTACTGTGGGGTCTTGGGAAGGCTGGGTACCTTCTCTGTGCCTCAGTTTCCTTATCTGTGAAGCAGGGATTAAAGTGCTCTCCCCACTCCTCTCCCTCAAGGCTGCTGGGACAATCATGCCGCTTTTGAATGCTAACACTATGAATAATAATGGCAAATGCTTGTGATAGTGCATGGTTCTTTGTGGATTTCACGTTAATTCAGAGACACCTTACCACAAGCCTAACCAAGGAGGTTCTATCGTCTTCCCGTTTTACACAAAGGAAACAGAAGTAAAGTATTCTGCCTAGGTAGAGGAGTAAGTAAACGGAGGAGTCACATTCCAAATGCCTTTCACTCCACAACGCTCCTCATTTCAACAAGAAAGCATGGGGAAAAGTATGTGCAAAGAAGCCAGGCATGGGGAAACATCTGGTTTTGGCCCAGTCAAGAAGAGTCCAACTTCAGATATTTCCTCCTAAGTCCTCAGGGAAATCAGCTGGGTCACAGTCATTTCAGGCCACCTCCCAAGTCCCAAGTTACAAGCAATCTCTCTATCTCCCTGTCACTGTTTTCAGAGGTCCAGTGGAAATACTAATAAGCGGGTGCTTTGCAAACCATCAGTCACCTTCAAGGGTCTCCTTATCAGCCCTTGGGGCCTGTGAGACAGGCACCGGCAGCAGCCTGCCAGGCCCTCCTATCAGCGTCTCCAGTTCTGGGCTGGGCATGCTGGCCTTGCATGTGCATGCTGGACGTGAGGATGTAGGGCTTGGGAACTGGTCCCTGACATTGGTCCACTGTGTGACTCTGGAGAAAGCCCTTGGCTCCTCTGGTCCGCAGTGCCCTCGTTTATAATTGAGGGGGTTGGATGTGTGATCTAGAAGGCCCTTCTAGCTCCCCTCACCAAAGGCTGACTGCAGAGAGGCAGTGGGAAAAAGTGCTATAGGCGTCTTTCTCTTTCCCCAGGGATTCAGGAGAAGAGACCCAGTTAAGATCATGTGTGCTCTGGGAGCAGGAGAACTAGGTGCCCAGGAGGGCCTGATGGAAGAAATGCACGGGCCACCTGTGGTGAGGAGTGCACACAGGTGCTGGCCCCGCCTGGGGCATATACTTGGCAGGGGAGCATTCTAAATAAAACCTGACTGAATTCCTAGCAGTTCTATGGCCGGCAGCTCAGGGTCTTCCTTCCAGAGCCACCCTAGTCCTGGAGTCTGAGGTTCAGGTAGAAAAGAAGGGAGAGAAGGAAAGAAAGAGAGGAAGGAGAGGAGGAAGCACCATGCCTGGATGAGGCGTGAAAACAGGAAGAGACAGAACATGTCGTTCATGTACACACTAAACACGCACATGTGGAGAACAGCGGTGCATGTTTTATAAGAACACAAATGGAAAAGACACCCATTAATATGATGGCCAGGATGTGCTTCCAAATAATAGGTCAGCGGGAGAAAGTGGGGGTGCAGATGAAACAAGATTGGCCACAAGTAGATCATCATGGAGCCTGGGAATGGGGAGGGGGGAATGAATCAAACAAAATGAAGTTTAGCAAACTCAAAGGGAGTCCAGAGAAGTGGAAGAAAGGAGGAAGGGCCGGGAGAAGGAGGGCCAGGAGAGGGAGAGGCCCGGGAAATCAGGAGCAGGAGAGGAGACCTCTCTATCCCAGGGCCCCTCTTCTACTTGGTGACCGCCATCCAGAGTCCACCTGAATAGCCACAGAATTCCAGAGCCAAGTAACTTCGGCGACATTCCAATCACTCCCTCCTTTACCAATGAGGACCCTGAGGTGCTGGAAAGAGAGCACCTTGGGCATATCACACAGGACACCGTAGGAGGAGAGTAAGCCCGACGCCCAGTGCTGGGTTCCTAGCCCTTTCTAAAACGAGACGGAACAAGAAAACCAACAAAAGTCACAACTTTGGAGTCAGCCAGACCTAGCTCAGAGCCCACTTCTGAAACTGTGGTCTTGAGCAAGTTGCTCAGCCACTCTGATCAGCAGCTGCCCAACGGGTACAGGCGCCTTAGCAGGACCCGGGACGCAGAAAGGCGGGCCTTACCCTTGACTTCTAGAGAAAGGGAAGCACCACCACAAGTGTTAAAGGAAGGAGATATGCTTAGCTCAGGGCTTGAGTGTCTGAGAGGCAGCCCTGGAGTCCCGGTCCCTTCTGCTGCTGGGAAGGAATAGCAGCATGCAGCTCCCCTCAGGCTCTCACCTGCACCACCTGGGTGAAGGTGTTCCTGGCCTCTTGCACCTGCTCTCCTTGACCTTGCTGCCTCTGGTCCCTATCGGCCTGGGAGCTCTCAGCCTCGGGCTGTTCTGTCCGCATGTGCTCGCTTACAGATACCAGGACGTTCTCGGACTCCTGAGATCCACTGGGCTCTAGCTCTTCGGTCGTAGTGCTCGTTCTCTGGAATAAGTGTGGGTCTTGCGTGACCTCCTCTTGCCAGGAACCTTGTGCAGCATCTTGCAGGTATGAGACAATGGAGCCGTCTGGATCCCAGTCCTGCAGTCTGGGGTCCAGGGGAGGCAGCAGATGGCCGGCCGGGGAGAGAGAAAGGACACCTGGTCACCCATCAGTCTCACTCCTTTTAGACACTCTCCCCCTCCAGAGCTCCGGCTCATCAAGGACACGGACTGTCCTCTCATCCCCCCAAAGGTCAGGAGCACGTGAGCACACTGCCCACCTCACTGCTGTGGTTCAGAGGGGTACACGTGGCCCATCTAATGCTGTCCAGGTGGAAAGGCCACTGGTCCCTCCCTATGGGTGAACGGCTCGCCCTTGGGGCTCCCAGGGCACTTGGCTCACCCTAATGGTCCAAACACTGGGGCCTCCACTCTCATCCCACATCCTCAAACTCTACCACCACCTCCTTCTGCTCTCTGGGCCCTTCCCATTCAGCAGTCCTCATCTGACAAGGTGGTCATTCTCTCCCCCTCGAGACACATTCTCCCATGGCTCCTGGAAGGTGCTGGCCTGGTGTCCCCCCTTCCTCTCTGGCCACTGTTGCTCCGTGTCCTCTGCTGATTCCTCATAACTTTCTGACTTCTGAACATTGGAGCGCCCTAGGATTCAGTTCTCAGACCTCACCATTGTCCACATCCGCTTCCTAAGCAAGCTTGTTCATCCCATGGTTCCAAAGCCCATCTCTACACTCAGCGTGCCTGGATGTGTGTCTCCAGCTCGGCTCTCCTCCTCGAACTACAGCTGTGTGCATCCCGCTGCCTCCTCCACATCTCTGCTTGGTTGTTTTCTGAGACAGTGCTTCACTCTGTCTCCCAGGCTGGAGTGCAGTGGTACAATCACAGCTCACTGCAGCTCTGCACTCCTGGGCTCAAGCCATCCTCCCGCCTCAGCCACTTGAGCAGCTGGGGCTGCAGGCACATGCCACCACGTCCAGCTATTTAAAAAATTTTGTAGAGATGGGTCTGGCTCACAGGTCTACTTTGGATCTCTACTCAGCATCTCCAGGACAGTGAGATCCAATCCACACTCAGAATCTTCTCCCCTAGCCTGTCCCACCCCATCCCTGCTGCCATCCCAGGTATCTTCATCCTTGCAGCAGGCAGGTCGAGGACATCACTGCCCTCCTTGACCCCTCTCTTCCTCTCTTACCCCACATTGTATTTGCCAGCAGATGCTTCGGAAATATGTCCTGCACCCACCCACCTCTCAGCACGGCCACCGCTGCCGTTCCAGCCCATAAGCCCACGGCCCTTTCCTCCCGACACACCTCCTGCTTCTCTGCCAGGTTGCGCCAGCCTCCTCTCAAGGCAGGTGCAGCTTACCCTGCTCACCCTCCCCTCCCTAGCTTCATGGGCTTGGTTACTCTGTTAGGGCACGTGCCAGGCATGGTCTCCTTCACAGGGCTAGGCCTTCTATGGGGCATCCTCCCTGAGATGTCCTCACGCTCACCCTCAATTCCTTGAAGTCTCTCAGCTGGCACTCATGCAGGCCTCCCCTGGCCGCCCATCTGTAATTCCAGCCGGCCTTCTTTCCACACACACTCCTACCTCCTGTCCTCCTTCTCTGCTTGATTTTTCTTTTTAGCACATATTATCTAGAATTTCTGTTTTAATGACTTCTAATTTTATTTACTTTATCTTGTTTCTTATTAGTTTCCCTGCTAGAACTACGCTTCTTGCAGGTAGAGATTTTTTCTGTTTCATTCGATGCCGGCACCCAGGCACTCTTTATAGGTGCCTGGCACACAGTAGGCACTCAATAAATACTGTTGAGTGAGTGGATGAAATTCATCTGTCCCCGTTAGAAGGCTGACCAAGGTCACAGCGCCAGGAAGTGACACAATAGGCCTAGAGCCCAGGCGTTCATGTCCCCAGTTAGCAACGCTGGATAATGCAGGGGCCAGCATTCAGCCCCCGCAGGTGCTCAATAAATGCTTGTTGAAGGAACGGCCGTCCCAGGAAGGTGCCTCTCTCCCGGGAAGGCCACTATTTCACTTCACACCGGCTTAAGCTCCATCTGTTCAATCCTCCCCATGAA